ATCAATTTCCAATAAATGTAATTTACCAAAACAGAGCTCACCAATGAAACCGAAACAAAATTAATTGAAATCGAACATCGACAGTGCCGAACTCTCTTCTGGCAAAACTCGTAACGTTAATTAGAATTAGAAATTGTTTTATTGGCGCGCTAATTTTAACGGTAATTTGTCATAATTACGTTGTTCCCAACGCCTTAATGCATGTAGATGGTCGTTAGTGTTGGTCGTCCTATCAATATTTGTTCGGCGGCGATAGAAATATGGTAATTGTTGTTGGGAAAAACACCTGTATCAACCACAAATTACAAATAGATGCAGCAAACAAACACATATCTAATTATAGATGAATAATGAGACTGGTCAGTTAGTGAGGAATTTGTTATTCCGTGGCTTATACACACAAATATGTATTAATTTTTGTATTTCGTGGTGGAAAATAATCTATAAATAATATTATGTATAATTAATTTTATTATTATATCTCCTGGAATAGAACATTTACATCCCGGTTTGAATATTTAAACAGTAGAAATAAGAGTATAAGAAAATTAGTTATGAATATTAAAGTATATGGTATAAACTCCCCAAAACTAGTCCCATATAAAAATGTACACTACAGAGATCTTGTATACCTACCAGAATAGATATAAAAAAGTTTTGCCTTGTTGAACAAAATCTAAAAAATAATATTACTTCCAAATATATTTGAAAAAAAAACACGATATTTCAGGATTTATTTTTTATTTTTTCTGACTTAATTTTTAAACTGACAAAAAAATCCTATGGGTATTTCGCCACTGTAAGAAAATCTAGAAAATAAAATAGTTATTTTTAGTAAATACTGTTGCGTTAATCCAACGGAGACTAATTGTCAGCAGTGGTTTACCAATAAATAAATTTGCCTAACGGACAAAAAAATGCTAAACGTTTCGGGAAGTATATCTCTTCCCGTCGTCGGAAGGAAAAAAACACAAAGAACAAAGAAAAACACTATTTAAAATATCTAAATGCAACTATTCGCGAACACTAGTTTTTTTTTAACAGATAAGTCTATAAAAACCGTTGGCGTTCTGTTAAAATGACATACCCAAGTTAAACTTCAAAATTAACAATTATTACTACGTGTGTTATGTTTATTTATGTTATACTCTTTAAAATCAAAGAACGTCTACAGATGGATGAGCAATACATTTATTTTTATTAGATAGTATTAAAAAAGCCTCTTTTATTTTTCTTTTAGAGGCTATCGGTTCTTTCATTATAATTTTTGCGTTGTTAAAATGTACTCTATGTCCTGTGTCCCATGAATGCTGACAAATCTTAGATTTGTAAAAATGGCCCTTTTCTTAAATAATCTTTATGTTCTTTAATTCGAACATTTAAGGGTCTAGATGTTTTCAAAAAAGCAATATAAAATTTATCACATTCACATGGTAATTTGTATATTAAATTTTTCGTTTGTTGTCCAGTGTTCATTGGTTCAATTTAAAAAAAAATAACTATTTTATTTTGTAGATTTTCTTACAGAGGCGAAATACCCATAAGATTTTTTGGAGAGATGAATCCGCCACAGAGTTATAGACATTTTTTAATTTTTAAAATATGGTATTACGAATTTTACACTCGAATTGTTATTTTTCCTTCACTTTAAGAGCGTACATAGAAGTTTATAAAATAGATTATTTTTTCTATATAAATTTTTCTAGACAGGTAAACACCAGCAATACTGTGTGTCGCTTTTTATTTTGTCTCTCTGTCTGTCAACCGGTCCTGTATATTCATCTCTGTCGCATGCGTTAAATTACAGACCACGCAGATGAAGTGTCCAGAATGGTATGTTTGAGCTACTGTTTGACCAGCGGATCTGAAGCTACGGAAGGAGTGCGAGAAAAAAAAATCGATATTGCCACGTTTATCTATAAAATTGCAAAATTGCCAGACATGAACTATAAATTTAATATATTTTTATTATATATAATGTGTTTAGCATTTATTCTCACGTATATATATATATATATATATATATATATATATATACAGGGTGTCCCAGAAATGAGTGCAGATATTTTAAGAGGTGGTAGATCTGGTCAAAATAAACATATTTTCTCTTTACCATTTTTAAAATAAATTGAAAATAACTGAGTTATTTAACTTTGAAAATTTAAAAAAATAATCGCAACATTTTGAGAACCGCCGGCAGATATTGCCAACTACATTCAATTACCCGGATCAAGCCCGGATTTCAGTTAATTCGACGCACTGTATTGCCATATGGACAAGAAAGTCTATGTTTACAAGTAAGTCATAAAATCACAACACCTGAGGAGTTTGCAGAGATGCATTACATTTTTAAGATTGTGATATTATTACATAAAATAAATTAAAAGTTAATGTTTAAAAGTTAAATTAAAAAATACCCAACATTAAAAAGATACTTATGACAGATCGATGTAACTGCGACAGTTCTCTTTTTCGATACACACTTAACTAAATACACTTCATTGTGCTGCTTTACTTGTACGTGCTATTATAAAAACTGCTAAAATAACAGTCCCCAAAGCTTCATCACAATTTGAATCAGGCTTCATCACAATTTGAACCACTGATTTACAAAACACCTTGAAAAGCACACATTACTTTGAATATCTTTCTGAATGAATAAATGTTGAGAATTATTGTCTTTTACCGCCACTTTACGAACTACTTTCAATCTAAGAAAATACATGTTTCACTCAACAATTTTAAATACGTATTTTGCTTTTTCGCTATTTTTTCGATGTATTTCGACAATTCCGTCAACAGCTCAACCATCCGTCGGCCAAGACAGCCACGCATCACTGGTTGGTAACCAGTGTTGCCAGCCGCAATTTTTTTTTCGTACCATATTTCGTAAATTTTCGTAATAGATCCTGATGTTTCGTAATAAATCTTTTCAATGTTATGTTTTCGTGGAGTTGGCCACGTAGCCATAGCCATGCCATAGCTACAGCATGGCTACAGCTAAAAGTGGTGAGGTGTTTTCTGGCGCAATTCTTCGAACCAGTTCAAAAATTGCAGTCAGAAAATGACTTAGGTCTTTTTTTGTTAAAAATAGCTGATTAATACCTAACAATTAACATTTTACATTACTTTCAAAGACGTAAGAAAACTGCCAGTAACTTGTAGATTATTGTGATGTATTTCCTTTCAATATAAACCAAATAAACAAGAAAATTCAACTAGAAATTTTAATGCCAATGAACAGGGCCGTAACAGAGGCCGTAAACTGAAAAACTACAGCTAAAGAAACTAAAATTGCTATTGTCATAGCTATAGCAACATAAATAGCTTACAAAAGATAGATATTATGAAAAATACATATTTACAATTTTTTTTAGTAGAAAATATCACGTTTCAGGAGAAATCCACAGAAGAAATATGTGGTCAACTTCAAATAATAATCTTTGCACACACCCGTTTTTCACAGCATCAGCAGTCTCATCAGTCAACTTAAAACTAACAGAAATAAATATCAGGTTAAAATATAACTTTTTTTTCACAGCATCAACAGTCTTAAATTAGTAAAATATATAAGTATTACTACATAGTATCATTTTTATACTGAACCTTTTTTTTCAAAAGATTGGTGTCTGGTACCCAAGTGTGGCAAGAATAACCTTTCAAAAGATCTTTTGAGTGTAATATTGAATCACAAGTGTCAATGTTTAAACGATTTCGAACTTTGGTTTTGATTAAATTATATTGGGAAAATTGTCTCTCTGCAGTTGCAGATGAATGAGGAAGACACATTATGCCTTTGACTAAGATGGACAAATTTGGGAATAACAATTCATCCGTACTATTTTTCATTCGAAATATTTTTTCCCAAAATTCTTCAAAATCTAAATCTTTAATACTCTGTACTTCTTCGGAATCTGCTGACAGTCTCCATTCAACATCCAATTTTTCAATGTCAGTAACTAATTGTGGAAAATACTGAATGCTCTTAGCAGCAATAGAGTTTATATTTCCACTTACTACAGTCAAAGGATTAAATATTTTACAGAAATTCAAAATTGGATCATTGAATGAAAATCTTTTCTGAATTTGGGAGCATAGCTCAATATAAAAATCAAGACATCTTAGTCTAAAATTGTTGACAGAATTATTATTTTCCTCTGAGGATAACATTACCTGGACCCTAGCGCCAAAATAAACATCTTCAATTGGTAAAAAATTTCTGGGATTTTTTACGTCTATTTTTTCTAAACTAGTTTGGTCAAGGTAATGTTTTTTTAAATAATTCCTTAATATCGTCTTGTATAAGGCACTAACTCTGTCACTTAATAAATATATCTTACATTTCTCACTTTGGAATTCAAGATTTAACTGATTCACAATTTCTAAAACATAAGATAAAAATAAAAAGTATAACTTGTAAATAGGATCATTGAGGTTATTTAAAGTTGTTTGGAAACTTTGTAACTTTTCTGCTAAAACTGCATCCTGAAACACTAGTTTTAGGGAATTCCAGTGCAGTAAAATTCTATTTACTACCTCCTAAAAAATAATCTAATTATTGTTATTTAAGATAACTGTGAATCAGATTACCTGTAAGGACAGCCACCTTCTTCACGACAGTCTGACTTGGATGCAGCATTTTATGGGGCTTCTCATCTAAAAAGCTTTGGCATTCATTCAAAAAACGAAGGCGTTTGCTACTGTTTGAGAAAAAATTATATACTCCCCTAGCGAATTCTTCGAGTGTATTCGGTAATTTAATTGCTGCTGCGGACGCACACAGGTGGAATGTGTGGCAAATACATCCCATAACAAATAATGATGGGACATCCTGTCTAAAAAGTGCTTGTACACCTTTAATGTTTCCCATCATCACTGCCGCATTGTCAGCAGCTAGTCCAATCATTTTGTTAGGGGTATATTATTATTTTCAAATGGTTTATTGTGGTTTGATCAATTTCATTTGACGTACCTTGATGTATTTCTAAAAGACCAAAAAGTGGTCTGTCACCTTTTCATCATAAAATCTTATCACTACAACTAATGACTTTTGTGTTGCCACATCAGTGGTTTCATCCATTATCAAACTATAAGCAACTGATTTGTCAACTTTTTAAGCAATATTCTCTAAAGCGGAGGATGTAAAACAATGTTTAGTAATTAGGGTGGCTTTCGTCCTAGATATTTTAAGGTCTGCTGCAATATTTGAGTCTGGACACACTGATCCTATAAATTTTGGGAGGTGGTCCATCAATAAAAAGGGTAAATTATGTTCGTGAAGAAACATAACACATCTTAACTCTGCTGCTTTCACTTTAATGGAATGTAATTCTTTGTTAGGATTGATCGACAGCAGCTCTTGAATTTTTGGTGTTTTTTCTGCTTTCTTTATTTTTTTTATGTAGTAACGTTATACTGTGCCTTTTTATATGAGTAATTCCTCCAATTATTTTTTTGTCACAAACAGTACAGAATGCTGAACTTCCATCCGATGATGATTTGCACCAATTTGCATATCTTTTATCTTCACACCATTTATCCCGAAATTTTTGTTTATAACTGGTTGTAGTTACTTTTCGCCTTTTTAAAACAGCTTTTGTGCCAGTGGATTCATCACTACTAGAATCCGAGTCTGTAATACTGGAATGCCGCCTCCCACTAGGGCCTGGTACAGGAGAATCTGGCTGACTGCTGGAGTTTTGTATAGGGGAATCTGGCTGGCTTCTAGGGCCTGCTATACGAGAGTCTGAACAGCTACTATGTTCTGATGTAGGACGAACAGAAGCAGTAATAATGGGAGGATCTGCAGATTTTGCAGCATCTATTTTGGAAACACCAGATGTAGATAACCACCTACAAATTTAATTAATTTGATATAAACATAATTAAGTTAAGTAAACTATTAGGTAGATAGGTAGGTATAAAATATAAAGTTGATCCTGTAACTTACTTCTTCATCATAATAAAAGTTTCTAAAATACTTAAGTTCACAACAAAACTTACTTTGGTGGTTAGTGGTTACTGGTTAGTGATTCCCCTTTTTTGGTGTTCCCCCCGGTTCCCCGCTTTCCTTCACAGTTCCTTCCATAGACAAAGAAACAAATAATTTTATTTCTTTGTCTATGGTTCTTTCTTGTAAAATGTTAGGTTATACCAGAGATATAAGGTTATAATACTCACAGCAGACGGCAGTGGCTCCAATTCGGTCAACGTGCAATACACGTGCAATAATTAATTTATTATACACAAAATGTGGAATGAACATTTTAAAAGCCAGTTTATCAACTTTTTTTATTATAGTTGAATTTTTAAATAGTTGGATTGGCTGTATCGTAAAAACGTAATAGATTGGTGAGCGGCGTAACAACGTAACAGATTTTTTTTTCCGTAATAGATTTATTACGAACGTAATAGGGCTGGCAACACTGTTGGTAACTGCTCATTGCTTCTTTGTCGCGCCGGCGTGTCGAGCTTGCGTCATGCGAGGTTGCCGTAGTTTCACCAATTTCAAATTCAAGACACTCGAAGCAATCAAATTCTTATTAAATTTTAAAAATAAAACAGAAAAACATGAAAGGAAACAAACAAAACACAAATGAATTGATTATTGATAAGGTCACAAAAAGAAATTTCTAAATTGTTTATCGTAATTCAGAATTCAATATATCGAAAACAGCCCGACGAATAATCAATTCATTTTCGTTTTGTTTGTTTCCTTTCATGTTTATCTGTTTTATTTTTAAAATTTAATACAAATTTGATTGCTTCGAATCTCTTGAATTTGAAATTGTTGTAACTACGGCAACGTTGCTTAACATCGTCGTCTGACGCAAGCCTGCCACGACGGCGCGGCTCAAAGGACCAGTTCACACGTGGCACTCTTGGCCGACGCGCGACGGTCGGTCTGTCAAAATACATCGAAAAAATAGCGAAAAAATAAAATAGGTATTTAAAATTGTTGAGTGAAACATGTCTTAAATTGAAAGTAGTTCGTAAAGTGGCGATAAGAGACGGTATTCAAAGTAATGTGCGCTTTTCAAGGTGTTTTGTAAATCAGTGGTTCAAATAAAACAGAGAAACATGAAAGAAAACAAATATTGAATTCTAAATTACGATAAACATTTTAGGAATTTCTTTTTTGTGACCTGGTTGTGAATAATATGATGAATCATTTTCGTAAACGTCATAAACGTAATGTTTTAGTTAATTTTCGGTGGTTTTTGTTAAGTTTTCATTGAAAGGGTAAGTACTAAAAATAATTAATGTTTTTTTTCTATAATAATTATTAATAATGAGCACTGATGAAAATTTAACATTCTTAATTTTTGAGTAGAAATTTTTCTATGAATTTATAAATGTAGAACTATGTAGAATGTGGATAACATAGGAGGTTACAACAGTGCATGGTTTAGATACACCGTAGAGAAATCTCAGGTGAATAAACAAGTGGCACTAAAAAGTTTTTTCAAATTTCCCGGAAAATGTCAAGAAAAATTTTAAATTTTCAACATTTTTTTTTCGCAAAAAAAACCTCATAGGCGTGTTTCTGGGGTCGAACTATACTACCAGTTAAAATATCTGCACTTATTTCTGGGACACCCTGTATATATATATATATATATATATATATATATATATATATATATATATATATATACTAAGGAATTTTAACGTAGTTCATATTGTTCGATATGTTTTATTTAATAACTTATTTCTTTCATTCTGCATAATCTGCTTATTATGAAAGTTGAAGATTTTTCAACGATATCATTGGCAAACCGGCATCGCCGCGCATGGCCGCCTATTCATCGAACATGATTGGCGAGAGTACGTCACAGGATTTGTTACCACGCGATTGCCATGGCTTTTACGCCTTTCCTATTCGCTATCTTTATCCCCAACTTCACGGTCTCTTCTGAAAAGAGTAGGAATATTGAATACTATTGAAATATCCAGTGGCGGTGTAATTTTTTTGATCATTATTACTTTATTTCATTATTTTATACCGGTTATCCTAAACTTTATTCCTATATTTTTCGTATATTTGATAGTTAAGTTGTGTTTTATTGTTTTGTTATCTTGTTATAATGTTTTTCGTTCGTAGTTTTTAATTATTAATATCAAGTTTGATCGTATATTTGTGTTTTAAAATGAATAAATTTGTTAAGGGTAAGACGCTACATAGTCAGACAAGAGAAATAATAGCTAATTTATATAGGTAAGTTAATAATAACGTGGATGAAATCTCATTTGGTTTATTTCCTTGTGTTCATAATAGGGTTTGCGATGAAGAAGCTACAGAGAGTTCGCTTAAGTTGCCGCTTAAACGTAAACTTGAGCGGATATTTCTTTATACCGGAGTTAGCGTATCGGCTATAAAAAAATTCACACAGAAGATAAAAAAAAAGGCTGAAAACTAACCCCGATAAAATTATATCCAGCTTTGGAAAGAAACGACCACGTGAGACTGCTGTCGAAAAGCTCGACGACTTTTTCGAAGTGGTCAGGAATTTGATAAATAGATTTTATCTCGAATTCAAACTTGTCCCCACAATTAGAGCCCATTGTCCCCACAAGCTTTTGCAAAAATTGCAGGAAAAATCGAATTTTCCTTTTGCAGGGAAACGCTTAGGGGGTTATTAAAATCAAATGAATTTTTTTGGCGTAAATGTCAAAATAACAGATAAATATTAATGGAGCGGCCCATTATATTGCAGAGAAAGATATAAATATACACGCGAAATTCGAAAATATAGCCAAGTATTATCTATTTGGATGAAACATATGGGTAGACAATGACCTAACCTTTAAAAACTGCTGGCGGAGCGATACCATATCTGGTGTAATAGGCAATATTGGATCTACTGGTGAGTAAAATTATGTTTTGTTTGCGCTTCCAAAGTTAACTATTTTCAAGATTTTTTTTGATGGAAATAGTTATATCTAAAATTATGTATTATAGAAAAGAAATATAGTTAGTATAGATATATAAATAAATATACCTCAAGACTCAGTCTTGATCATCTGCTGATGGCAGACATGGTTAGCGAAATGCGTGCGTCCAGTGTAAAATTAAAAGTGTTTTGGTGTATTGTACTGATTTAGTGTTTTATTTTGCTGTGTAACACCAAAGGTTCCAACTCCCAGCTGTAATTATTTCTTCTATTATATTAACAACACAATAATAAAATGATTCAAAATATTTAAGGGAGCTTTAATAAAAGCTTTTAGTGTTTATCTGCTAACTCAACAGTAACAATTCAAACAGCATAAAGTTTTTTGAAAAAAAATATTAATCTGAGTATTATATTTATGATACACATTATTTTCATATAACACCGTACGTCCATGCCTATTTTATGAATGAAATTGGGCGTGTTTTGTTTACAACTGCGTTCCCCTGCCGATACCCCGTAGCTACAGATCCGTTGGTCACACTATATGTAGATTAAACTACTAAAAACAATTAACGCATATTTTCTAAAAAAATATTAATTTGAAAAACCAGACACTTTGAATTCCCTGACTTACAATTTGAAATAGTTTAGATACTGTTGAAAGGAAATTCGAAACAATAAGCCGACGCGTTAACCTGTAATTTTTAGTGGGCCGACTATTTAGTTGTAAAAGTGAAATCAATACATACTTATGGAGTCGATCGACCGACTATTTCGTTACATGTGAGCGCGGCTCCATTATATATTGGTTATAGTATCCTGACTATTTAGTTGCATATTTGTAACCAATATATCTGTTGGTTACAAATATGCAAATAAATAGTCGGCCGATTAAAAATTGCCTGTCAACGTATAGCCTAAGGCTAGCAATGCAATCCAATATATAGGGCCGATCGTCTCCATAAAAATGTACGAGCCCTAACAACTAATTGTTCGGACAAACAAAAATTTATTAAAAACCTTATTAACTGAATTATTTACATTTAAGAAATACATTAAACATATATTAGATTCTAACATTTCTAATGAATTGTTCTAATGAACAAAAATTGTGCCACGATCCCCAAGAAACCGTTGCCCATTTGACGATGATATTAAGTGAATTATAGCAAAATTTTTACTCTGGCTTATGCCAATCATTAATAAAAACAATGCCAAACAGGCTTGCAATGGTTGCAAAAGTTCATGCCGATGTAAAGACATATGAGAACAGTTATTTTTTAAAGTGTCCGAACATTATTTAGTTGTCACGATATTGTGCAATCTTTTTGTTTATTTATTGGCCTACAGTTTATTTTTATGTTTATAGAAACTAAACTATTTAAATATTCATTAGAAATGTTAGAATCTAATATATTTTTAATGTATTTCTTAAATGTAAATAATTCAGTTAATTAAAATAAAGGTTTTTAATAAATTTTTGTTTGTCCGAACAATTAGTTGTTAGGGCTCGTATTGTTTTCACTTTTGCAACTAAAATAGTCGGCCGACTAAAAATTATTTGACAGTGCGTACCCAAATTATCCTAAAAAAAACTCACAAGAGAAAGGCAGAAAAAATCATTTAGAAATATATAATAATTACTTTTATTCAAATATGCGATAATTGTTTAGAGTAGTGCATTTTAAAGCGAAATAATTTCTGATAGAAAAAGTTAATTGTGTTTATTAGTAATGAAAATATCCAATAATAGTATAAAAAAATACCTGGCGAACAGGTCGGATAGGAAAAATTATTCACATTTTTCCCGAAAACAAACCAAAACCGCTCGTTAAGCCGAAGCCCGCGATGAAATATTTACAAACAGCGAAATAACAAACCGAAACAGTCCCGCCATCGATACGGAAATTAAAGAAAATGAAATTGTGTGTAATTTGCTTCGTTAACCGTATGTAGGTCATTCCTAAATGTTTTTCCTACATGAAAACCTTAAATTTTCATTTTAATTTTCTTCGTTTTAAGTATACGCTCCGACGCGCGACGGCCGATGGTCGTTTTATACCGGAATGATTGAGTTAATAAAGGTAATAAAAAATAAAATCAATATAGCCTAAC